AATGGCTGTATGAGTTGGCACTCCCACCAGCAGTGGAGCAGTGCTCCCCTTTCACCACAACCTCTCCAGCATAAATTGTCAATGGTGTTTTTGATTTTAGCTTTTCTGACAGGAGTAAGATGGTATCTCAGAGTTGTTTTGATTTGCATTTCCCAGATGGCTAAGGATGTTGATCACTTTCTCAAGTGCCTCTCAGGCATTTTAGACTCCTCTATTGAGCATTCTCTATTTAGTTCTGTAGCCCGCTTTTTAATTGGATCCTTTGGTGTTTTGGAGATTTGCTTCTTGAGTTCTTTGTAAATTTTGGAGATCAGCCCTCTGTCAGATGTGGAGTTAGTGACTATCTTTTCCCACTCTGTAGGCTGCCTTTTTGTCTTGCTGACTGTGTCCTTTGCCTTACAGAAGCTTCTCAGTTTCAGGGGGTCCCATTTATTAATTGTTGATCTCACTGTCTGTGCTACTGGTGTTATGTTAAGGTCATTCTCTTCTGTGTCATCTGTGTTGGGATGTTTGGGTTTTGCTGGTGTAGAGTCCCTAGACTCTGGTGATGTCATATTAGTTTTCCATTGTTGAATGTGCTCTTATATTGTCATCTTCCTATCCCTTTTTCCAATGGATACAGGTGAGGTTTCTTCCTCTCCTGGTTGGTATGGGTCCAAGGTTCTCTTCTCGAAGGTGCAAGCAGATCCTAAAACTCTGATGGGTCTCATGGTGGGTGTAGGCAGATCTGAACCACTCCCTCTCCTCATAGGTGGGAGCTGGATTAGAACAGTACTGCCAGTAGACTGGAGGTTTCTTGTGAGCCAGGTCGAGTCGATCTGCCTGCAGTCCCCAGGCCAGGAGATCCCAGAGTGGGCAAGGAGAAGGAAGTCAGGCTTGAGGTGGTGGCTCATCTCTGCTCTGAGTGGATGTGGGAGTAGACCAGTGCTTTTTGCAGGCTTGTGGTTGCTTGGTCCGCTGAGTGTAAATTGACCTGCCTGCAATCCCCAGGCCAAGAGATCCCAGAGTGAACAAGAGGAAGGAAATCAGGCTGAGGTGGAAGCCCACCTCTGCCCTCAGTGGGAGCAGGAGTGGTCCAGCAATCTCATCAGGTTCTCAGTTGCTTTGTCTGCAGGGGGTGGCATGTAGAACCCCTGCAGTTCCCAGGCCAGGAGATCCCAGAGTGCTATTTTGTTATATATTAAAATGGCTACAATACCTTGCTTCTTAGGTTCACTCTCTTGGATGATTTTTTTCCAACCCTTTACTCTGAGGTAATGTCTATCTTTCATGTTGAGGTGCATTTCTAGTGTGCAGCAGAAGAAGGGATCCTGTTTCTGAATCCATTCTGTTAGCCTGTACTTTTTTATTGTGGAATTGAGACTATTTATATTGGGAGACATCAATGACCAATGATGTTAATTCCTGTTTTTTTTGTTGTTGGTAGTGGTGGTCTTAGTGGTGGTATGTGAGTATTTGTGTGTGTGTGTGTGTGTGTGTGTGTGAGAGAGAGAGAGAGCTTAAAACCTGCCTCCACAGTGTCACAATTCTCCAACAATGTCACACATACTTCAACAATACAACACCTCCAATAATACTGCTCTCTGTGATCCTATGAGAGACATTTTCACTCAAACAATGACATTCTACTACCTGGTACTCATAGGCTCATAGCCATATCATAATGCAATGCAAAATGCACTTAGTTCAACTTCAAAAGTTCCCTGTCAGTCAAGACAGATAAAGTAGAATAAATGAGTATATTAGTCAAAGAACACATTGCCAACAGATTTCTAGCTTTGATGTTTTCCTTCACTGTCTATATTTGTCTACCCTGGAACTCTCTCTATAGACCAGGCTAGCCTTGGACTTGGAGATCTGCCAGCCTCTGCTGGGATTAAAGTTGTGCAATATCATGCTGAGTCCTAAGCTTTTTAAAATTTCCTTTTCACTTTTCTTTAATTTATTTTCACAAGGTTGAAGCTTAGCTGGGTGAGGTTACCACCCCCATTTATTCCATTTAACATTAGACTTTTCTTTAATCTGTTTATATTTCCTTGTGGGGACACCAGATCTTGATCAGAAACCCATTTCCCCTTCGGCCTGGGAGCAGGCAGCTGTGAGATGTTTACTGAAAACAATTCAGTGCTATAAAACTCTTGATAGGGCTCAGATAAGGGCTCGCTCACTGAAAAACCATGACTTTGACACCCCTTCCAGCTAGATGCCTCTTCCTGTTCCCCTGCTGTGTCTCCCCGATTCTGGGGCTGGAGATTAAACCACCAGCCAGGAGGGTGAGAAGTCTGGAAAGAATTGTATGTAGATGGATGGCAGAAGTCCTTAAAAAAGGGAAGCTCTTTTTTTCTTAGAGACTTCTCTCTCCTAAGCGGACTTGGAGTCTCCTCCTAAGCTGACTTGGGAAACATAAAGTTTTCTTAAAGCAACCTACCGGTCTCTGTGTCATCTATCCTGACCACCTCGCTACATTCTCGGATGCAGGCTGCACAGCAGGTGCAACATTTCCTGGTGCTCTTTTTCTCTTCAGATTCTACATTTTGAATTTTTCCTTGCTCAGCTTGTTCCTTTTCATTATGTATCTGCGCAAGACTGTCCACTAATAACTATAGGACACAGTCTGCTCAGGGATGTTTTGATATCACCTTGGCAAACTCAATTAATCCGAAATCTTCAACTTGGACTCAGACTGATTTTTCAGACAAGGGCAAAGGCAGCCACATTCTTTGCCAAAATATCACAATAAGGTTATTATTCTCCTCTGAAACCTCTTGAACTGAGCCTTGACAGTTCAAATCACACTCAGCACCTCTGTCTTCCATGCCCCTACTAGTATGATACATTAAGCTCCACTTAAAAGTGTCCAAATCCCTTTTCTAGTCCAAACTCACAAAGTGTTCCACATTCCTCCAAACAAAAACATGGTTCAACTCATCATAGCACAAAGCCAGTTCCCGTTACCATTTTTGGTCTTAGTTTGGGTTATATTACTGGAAAGATAGCTCTTACAAAGGATAATATTTCATTGGGGCTGGCTTACAGTTCAGAGGAGTCCATTACTGTCATGATGGGAAGCATGGCAGCATGCAGGTAGACATGGTGCTGGAAGAGAGGTAGCTGATAATTCTACATCCAGATAGGCAGGTAGCAGAAAGAGAGAGTGACACTGGCTTGGCTTGAACCTCTGAAACCTCAAAGCCCACTCCAGTGACACACTTCCTTCAACAAGACCACACCTCCAAGAACATCACTCCCTATGAGTTTAAGGGGGCCATTTTCATTGAAACTACTTGAGATTCTCTCTTCCATCTCTTGCATCTATTGGTGAAGCCTGCCTCTGTGATTCCTATTCAAAATCATAAATGTTTCAGAATTCCTGTTTGTGTGTTTTCTTTATTGCCTCTATTTCCATTTTATGATCTAGAAGAATTTAATTTTTTTCTGTCAATAGGGTTTTTTTTTGTATTTTATTCCCTTCCTTGAGGGTATTTATTTATTTATCTTTCAGGTTGCCTATCATCATCATGTAGTTGGTTTTAAGGTATTTTTTTCCTTGTGCTTCAACTGTATTGGAGCATTCAGGGTTTGCCGTGGTAAAATAGTTGGGTTCTAGGAGAGACATATTACCCTGATTGTTACTAATTGTTTTCTTATACTGGCATCTACTCATATGTGTTTGGGATGACTTTAGGTCCAGGTGTTGATTTAGGTCAAGTTTGTTTCTCTTTGTTTGATGAATGTTTTGTTCCTGGGTTCCTGCTTTCTCTCTGGATTTTTAGAGAATATGCTGCCTTGTGCTGCCTATTTTCCTGGTCTTCTCAGCTAGTGTGGTCATGGGGAATGCCTGTAGGTGTTTGAGTCTGGTGTATAGTGATGAGTGGGGAGATGAAGGCTAGGCAAAGATGGATTGAGTAGGGGGCGAAGAGAGACTTCAGCTGGTTATCTCTTGGAGCACTAGAGATGAAACTTGGTATTTTTTCTAAAAAATCCAGCAATAAACATGTTGAACCTTGAAGAGTCACCATCTTTCCATGTCACATTGAAGGGAGCAGACAAAAGTACCTTGGTCTAAGTACTGTCATTTTTACTTCATACTCCGTTCAAGTTCCCAGGTGCTGGGAGAGATGAGAACTTTCCAACAGCTGGCCAACGTCTTCCCTAAATTATAGAAATAATCTCTATTCATCTTTAGTTTTTTAGAAACATTAGGGCTGCTCCTAACAATGGGAAAGAATGAATTTGATTGGTTGGACTGAACGACTTGCCTTGTATGTTGGTTGACAATGATGGAACATCTTTAACTTCTCATTTGTGAAATTTATAATTTTAACTTTGCAACAAATGTCTGTGATGTTTTTGTGCTCATAAACCCCACTTCAGTCCCTGCTTGGGACTGTCAGGATTGATCAGTCAGGATTGACTGCATATTTTGGTGATATCTTGTTTGTACAAATAAAGCCACTAGTTAGCCATGGGGGCCAGACGATGGTGGCACACACCTTTAATCCCAGAACTGGGGAGGAGGAGACAGGAAGTCAGATGTCTGGGTGGAGGGAAGAATGTAGGTGAGAGGAAACAGGAACTTGCTCTCTTTTCAGCTGGAAAGTTAGTGAGGTGAGGTGTGGCTGTGGCTTGCTCCTTCATCTTTCTGGTCTCTCAGCTTTTACCCCATTATCTGACCCCTGATTTTTTATTATTACCTACTAGAATTAACATTGCAGCTTATGTGGTGGATTATTAAAATCTTTGAAACCTTTGTCATCTCTCTCCTTCCTCATGGCTAATATCGGGTTAGGTGCAAAAACACGTGTCCCCCCATTCATGGAGTTGGTTGCCCTTAGTGGTAATCAGGGAAAACGATAACAGAGTTACAGCTGCAGTATTGCCCATCAGCCCATTCATAACTACGAAACTTTAGACAGCAGAGGAGACACGCATGGAAATAAGTACAGATTCACACTAACGGTCAAGTAAATTCCAGAATAACAAATAAGGATTGTGTATACCTGACCAAAGGTCAAAGCAGGGGCATCACAAAGTCCAGTCACACAGACGCTGCAGTCTGCAGAGGAGGAAATGATGAGCAAATGGTCACCTGACTCACACATCTGCAAGGAACTTATCCGGTCTTCATGGGGCTGAAATGATCTGAGCAAAGGTGGAGACTGGGTGATTTTGTTCCCAGTGGAATTAGAACAATAGTCCTGTTTGAAAAGAAATACTCAAATTGTTAAAAATCCAAATAATAAACTGTAATTTAATATCAACATGTGGAGGATACATTTATAAATGATAACCTAAGATCCACCTTCAAGAGAGAGCCCCTAATGATAAAATTTAGAAACAAAGATATTAATGTTGGCAAAAGTCTTGACGCTGAAATGACAAACTTGGGAAAAGAAAGAATGGGAGACAGAAGGGGTCAGAGACAAAAAAGAAAAGTAAAGTGTAAGTCGGTCTGTGATAGAAGGGAGCTTGGTCACATGGAGGCACTTAATATTATATCATCTTATGCTTTTTTTAAATGGAGTGAGTAATCAGCTATTACATCAACTAATTCAGGATGCTAATAACAGTAGATGAAGGACCATCACACTATATGACATTTAGGATTTGTTTCATAAAAGATGTATCCAATTGTTTATGTTCAAACAGTGCTACAGTGAAATACTGACAAGACTGCAAATTGTCATTGGACGACTGACGTAGATATATATTAATATGATATAACACTAAGAAAAATTGTGTGTGTGTGTGTGTGTGTGTGTGAATTACTTTAAAACAGTCTGTGATCAAAATCATGATAAAGGATTCTTTTTTTGTTTGTTTTTTGGGACAGGATTTCTCCATGTAGTCCTGGCTGTCCTGGAACTTTCTCTGTAGACCAGGCTAGCCTCAGAGTCACAGAGATCTGCCTGCCTCTTCCCACTGAGTGCTAGGATTAAAGACATACAACACCATTGTCAGGAAAATGATTTCTCCAAAATACTCAGCACAGAGCATTTCCTCCTTTGTCTAGGAAACACCTCCTTCATCAAGGTGTGACTCATAGTCAAGTACTTCTTTTTATCAGATATTGTACTAAAAAGCAATGATGATGATATGAGAATATCTTCCATTTACCTCTATATTCCAGATTTTCAACCATCCATCGGAATCTCCAGTGGCAAGGCACTGATTTTGTTTATCAGTAGACATAACAATGGATCCAACTCCAGCATGAGCCAAAAATTCAGCCAAAAGTTCTTTCTTAAATGTGTCCCAGAACCTGACATAACCAGATGCTCCACATGACACCAGGTTAGCACCTCCTATTACGTAGGGGAAACCTGATTAGGAAAATAAACCCTGAAATCAAAGGCGGCTTCTTCTAGCAGCTCACCCGGATGTGAGCATATGAGAGTGGAGAGGCCAGTAGCACTGCAAGCTAATCTGAGCATCATCTTGATTCTCTAAATTGTAAGTTGGCAATTGTTTCATGATAACATTACTATAACATGAAGAAGAATTCATGAGTAGTATTAACGACATAGGTTACAGAAAATATTCCACTGTTTGGTTTTCTTTTACCCATTTATTACACTGATATTACTTGCATTAGAGTTATATAAAATTAATTATTTCTTTGATGAACTTATAGGATATTAATTTAAACATTATGGTACTATCCTGAAAATATAAAATGTATTCTCCCTAATAATAAAATTTATTCTGGACATGTACAGAAGAGGTATAAGTCTGGATGCATGTATTCACTCAGGTCAGCACAGATATCAGATCTCTACTGAGTAGCAAACCATGGGTTCTGTCTATGAACTCATTTTTAATTTTTTCATCGGGAATTTTATTGTAAGTTCTTATAGCCCTTTTTGTTGTTGTTATTTGGATATAACCATTTGTGCTTTATATTTACATAAAATGATTTGTGAAAATATTCATCTGTGGCAAACTTATTTTTATATAAATCTGTAGATGGCTTTCCTTTTGTTATATAATTGTGCTGACAATAAGCAATGGAGTTGAGGTGAAAGTGATGGCATTGCTGTTTCAGTAGAAACAGTTTGGAACCAACATTAAGAAGACTTAGTTACAAGGAATTTAGAGTAATTTTAGGATAATGCTTCACAATAAGAGAATAAGTATGTTTTGAAGAACAGTTTTGTAGTGTGTTTCAAATTCATCTTAAATATTAAATAATATTTTTGAAATAAATGGGGTTATAACTTTATTGATGTTGTTTTATATAGATATCACATAGATTTTTCCATTTGCAAATTCAATGTGGAAAGTGATCATACAAATTATGGTTCAGATATGTTCATTTCTTTATCCAAATATACAATTCTCATGTCTAGAACCCTAACGCTCACACATGCGAAAATAAATCTCAAAACATAATTTAGATGAAAATTCAATGAATATTATCTATGTTATATTATGTGGACCAAGATGTAAGCTGCACCCTCATCATGCTATAAAAATAAGCACAAAGTTATTTTGTCTGTAAACTAGCACCTCCCCACAAAACATCACAGAGTACCACCAATGCTAGAATCTCTCTTCATAAAAAATTCAAATGGGACTCTGACCTATTGTAAGAAGCAAAAAGCAAAGACACTGCAACCATCCCCAAACAATATTCAAGGCGTGAGCCAAGAAGCCCTTATGGTGAGATTTGCAGACAATTCAAACCTCCCCCTTGAGTCCATGTTAACCTCAGTTGAGTAAAGTTAAAATTTCCTTGATACATGTGGGCCTACACATTGAGTCATGTGTTTGTAACATGTATCTAACTGTTCTAAAACATCTATAAGGCATGACTGTTATCAGTTGTTTGACAGATGAAATAATTGTTGGAATTTTTCTTGCTCTCATCTCAAACTAGATAATAGGTAAATTATTAGAAAGATCCATTCCCCTCCCTTCTCAGCATAAACTTCCTGTCCAAGTGTCCCTGTAACACTGCTCATGAACCAATGCAGGCTTGATAGCTACACAAAGTCAAACACTATAAGAGCAAATAAAATAGATTGATGAGCTTCCTTTATTGCTCCCTTTCTCAAATACAAAAAGGCAAATACAGCATATATTTTACCTGTTGCTGCATTGGTTTTTCTTGCTTCAAGGAAGCAAAGCTTCATAACAGCATTATTACCTTCTGTGTCAATCTCAAAATTTCGGGCAGCCAGTGTGGCCTGCTCTGCCATGCAGTGCACTGAACAGCTTCCCTTGGCATTAAGCTTTTGGGCTGCTGGGTCTGTGGAGAAGAAAAGCACAGGGCTCTTGGTGAAGGCAACCATCTTCTTTTCAAATCAGCGTACTTGAGCAACAGCAGACTCTCTCCTGTCTTGGCCTTGGTGAGATGATGCCATCAAGTCTCATGGCACATATTTAGTCAACCCTTGTCAAGCCTCCTACTATTCTCTTCTACTCTCTCAACTGAAAAGGTTGTTTCATTTCATTTTTGCTTTGCATATGCCAGGCACATGTCCTCTGATCTCCTTTGTTATGAATTAATTAGAACTTTATGTCTCAGTAATTGTTAACATTGCCAAGATCTCAATATGCTCAAGATAAATGTGTGTCTAATGGCATGAAATTCTAGTTAATGCTAATCTTGCAACTATTTAATGAACATGAAATCAAATTAATAAATATGTGCATACTTAAATAATCTCCTTTAATGTTTCCATTTGTTCGTGGGTTCCTCTAGATAGGACATTCCTAATGGTAGTTTAATTATATAATTATATCATCTTCAGGCCACATTATGAAAACTGAAAATGTTTATGTCAGACTCTATTGATAGCTTGCAGATATCTCTATGAAGATGTCTTCAACTTTCCAAAGTGAAAAATACAATAATGCTCAGGGTGCAGTGATGAGTCAGTTGGGAAAGTGCTTGCCAAACAGGCAGGAACATTTGAGTTCCATCTGCAAAACCCGCTTAAAAACCCTGGTGAGGAGAAGAACTAAGGTGGATTCCTAAGGTTCACCAGCCACAGTAGCTTAGTCAGCATCAAAAGTTCTAGACCAATGAGAGATCCTGTCTCAAGAAACAAAACAAAATACCAAACCAAGGTGCAGGGTACCTGAGGAAAGGCAGCTGATGCCTCCTTTAGCCCCCACATCCATGTGCACACATGTGTACTTAAATAAACACACACACACACGCATGCACACACATACACTCACTCACACATTTATACACACAAAAGAATGAGGAGGAAGCAGCAAAGGAGGATGAGAAGGAGGACAAGGAGGGGAAATGTAATAATGCCCTTAATGTCTTTCAGAAGTTTGGTATTGTGGTTTTACTGAGAACATCATCCATAGGCTCAAATGTTTAAATTCTTAGTTCCCAACTGGTAATGCTGTCTGGGAATAGTTTGGCTTTGCAGGAAGAACTATGTCACTGCAAAGCAGGCTTTGAATTTTAAAAGCTATATGCATTCGCAGTTTACTTTCTGTTTCATGTTTGCAGTTTAAAATGCAAGTCTTCAGCTTCGAGTTCCTGTCACCTCCACTTTGGCATTATTTAATCCTCTAGAGCAATAAACATAAATAATCTCTTCTATAGATTGTGTTGACCTGGCACCTTACTGCTATAATAGGAGAAACCAATAGAAGTATTGTTACTTTTTCTGTCTTGTTTCTCTATGTATGTAATGGTAGCCATAGTTAGGATTCTCTAAATATAGATGATATATTGTTAAATGCAAAGGGAGAGAAAGAAACAGAATTAAACCATCTTTTTAAAATGTTGAGATTACTTTTAATAGTTAGTTCTTTGTGTATAAGTCAGGTCAAAGCTTTGTGTCTGCAATCAATTAATAATCCCTCAAAATCTTTAGTTGTTAAATTGGTTTTCTTATTCCCAATAAATCACTCTCCTGCTTTATACACACACACACACACACACACACACACACACACACACACACACACACACACACACTGCATCTAATGGCCAGTCACTCAAAATTTACTCTCTGTGAGTCCGTGAGTTCACCCAATTGAGACGATAGGAACTAGCTTGACCATAGGGAATGAAATAACCATTATCTAAAGAAATTCATCTAAGAAAAACCTTTAGTTTCTAAAGAAACTAAAATAAAACATGAAAGGCAATTGTGGAGACACTGCACTTAAGCATAAAATATCCAAATGCTCTGCTAACAACTATAAAATATAATATACTCCTGTCTAATGCTTCTCTCGGGTTTCTAAAGTAAGGAATAATTTATGATGTCTAGGTAGCATAGTATTTAGTACAAGCTTCAGATTGAGGCTAAAAAGTCAACCAAGCAAACCCACTTCCCATTTTCCTACCAAAGGATACCCAAGATGACTCAAAGGCAATTCTGCAAGTTTTATTGGCTAAACCCAAACTACATTTTTAAAAAAATGAGAGTCCTGCTCCCTGCTGTCAATAATACAGAAATGCTGACGCAGCATAAAGAGAAAACTAGCATGCTGTAGATAATTTGCAACACCAAATCAGTCTCAAGATACTTCTTATTCAGGGTGATACGATTACACTATCACTAGTCCTTGGATCTTACAGCCAGTCATCTGTAAATCAGCTGTACACTGCATCGGATGCACACATAAACAGCCAGTCCTACTGTATGTACTACAGATCCACACTAGATTTCAGTTTCAGATTTACACTCACCTAATTTGGATGTTAGCTGCCTCTGGTAATCAGGGTGAAGGACATGGTGAGCATTTTCTGTGCTGCTATTCCACAGAACAATTTCTCCATCATAGCTCCCTGTAGAAGTCAGGGCAAAGAGCATAATTTACCAGATGATTACATAGAAACATGCAAACAGAAACAATTTATAACCAAACCTGTACTGTGGAAAAGCCACACAGCAGTTATCAACATGTATTATACAAAATCTTGTAAATGGTTGGTATTCTCTCTTTTTGGTGCCATGAATAATAATGATACCTGATACTTTAACTGTAGAATTTCAATATTTATAAAATATATATTATACTAATATATATTAGTTATATATATTAGTATATATAGTTAGTAGATACAAGCCAATTAGCTGTATCGTTTTACTCTAATAAATCATACTGAGTAAAAGCTCTGAAGTCAAACAGCTTGAGTCTGAGTTCAGGTTCAGCCAATTATTAGCTCATCTTGATGTCAAAATGTCTTCATCTATAAGACTGAGTTAACAACTGTGCTTATCTTATGGGGTTATTTTAAGAATGGAAAGTATTTTTTTAATCATTTTTTATTTTAATTTTAAATAGCTTGTTTCACATGTCAATCCCAGTTCCCTCTCCCTCCCCTCCTCCCGCACTCCCCTTCCACCCTCCCTCCCACCCTATTGCCAAATCCCTCCACATAGGGGATGTCTAGAGTCTATCATTTCACTCTTGGTAGGGTCAAGGCACTCCCCTAAGAGTCCAGGCTGAGAGAGCATCTCTCTTTGTGCCATAGGCACATGAAGACAGATTGTATACCAGGGATAGACACTGATCCACAGCTCAGAGCCCCATAGGTTGCCCAGGCCTTCTCACTGACACTCACATTTGGGGGGTCCAGATCAGTCCCATTCTGGCCTCCCCACTGTCGGTCTGGGGTCCAAGAGCACTCCCCTGTTCAGATCAGCCGTCTCTGCTGGTTTTGCCAGCCCATTCCTTGCCAATTTGCTCATCACTCATCTCTCTCTGTCACTGGGTTCCTTGGGTTCAGTTCAGTGCTTAGTTGTGTGTTTGCCTCTGCTTCCATCAGTCCCAGGATGAAGGCTCCCGGATAGTTATAGACATCAAGTTCATTATCAGGAATGGGCATTCGAGGTGGTCCTTCCACTATTGCTTAGCTTGCCAATTGATGTTATACCTTTAGATCACTCGAGGTCACTCTGGTGCCTGATCTGTCTTCGATCCTATGATTCCCTCTTCCCCCTATTTTACCCCCACCCCCTCAACTTCCTGTTCCCCCATGACCAACTCCCTTCCTCTTTACCCCCTCTACTCTTCCCAGGTCCCACTACCCCCCTCGCCCTGTTCCCCATCCATTCAGAGGATCTTGTCTCCATCCTCTTCTCTTGGGTACTATGCATATATGCATATCTTTTAGGTTCTTTCCTGTTTCCCAGACTCTCTATCTGTGGAAGTGCAGACTGGCACTATCCTGATCCATATTTAAAATCCATATATGAGTGAGTACATACCATGTTTGTCTTTTTGCGACTGGGTTACCTCACTCAGGATGGTTTCTTCCAGTGCTATCCATTTCCCTGCGAATTTCAAGATTCCATTGTTTTTTTCTGCTGAGTAATACTCCATTGTGTAAATGTACCACATTTTCTCTATCCACTCTTCAGTTGAGGGGCATCTAGGTTGCTTCCAGGTTCTGGCTATTACAAACAATGCTGCTATGAACATAGTGGAGCAGATGCCCTTGTTGTATGAACCTGCCTCATTTGGATAAATGCCTAAGAGTGGAATTGCTGGGTCTAGTGGTAGATTAATTCCCATTTTCCTGAGGAATCTCCATACTGATTTCCAAAGAGGCTGTATGAGTCGGCATTCCCACCAGCAATGGAGGAGTGATCCTCTCTCTCCACATCCTCTCCAGCATAAATTGTCTTCGGTGTTTTTGATTCTAGCCATTCTGACAGGAGTAAGATGGTATCTCAGAGTTGTTTTGATTTGCATTTCCCTGATGGCTAAGGATGTTGAGCACTTTCTTAAGTGTCTCTTGGCCATTTTAGCCTCCTCTACTGAGAATTCTCTATTTAGCTCTGTACCCCACCTTTCAAGTGGATCCTTTGGTGTTTTGGAGACTTGTTTCTTGAGTTCTTTGTAAATTTTGGAGATTAGCCCTCTGTCAGATGTAGGGTTAGTGAATATCTTTTCCCATTCTGTGGCCTGCCTTTTTGTCTTTTTGATTGTGTCCTTTGCCTTACAAAAGCTTTTTAGTTTCAGAAGGTCCCATTTGTTAATTGTTGATCTCAGTGCCTGTGCCACTGGTGTTATGTTTAGGAAGTGGTCTCCTGTACCAACTCGTTGAAGAGTATCTCCCACTTTCTCTTCTAAAAGTTTCAGTGTGGCTGGATGTATGTTGAGATCTTTGATCCATTTGGACTTAAGTTTTGTACAAGGCGATAAACATGGATCTATCTGCAGTCTTCTGCATACCATTACCCAGTTATGCCAGCACCATTTGTTGAAGATGCTTTCTTTTTTCCACTGTACAGTTTTAGCTTCTTTGTCAAAAATCAGGTGTTCATAGGTGTGTGGGTTAAAATTAGGGCTTTCGATTCGGTTCCATTGGTCTACCTGCCTATTTTTGTGCCAATACCAAGCTGTTTTCAGGACTATAGCTCTATAATAGAGCTTGAAATCAGGTATGGTGATGCCTCCTGAAGTTCCTTTATTGTATAGGGATGTTTTGGCTATCCTGGGCCTTTTGTTTTTCCATATAAAGTTGATTAATGATCTTTCCAGGTCCTTGAAGAATTGTGATGGAATTTTGATAGGGATTGCATTGAATCTATAGACTGCTTTTGGCAAGATTGCCATTTTTATTATGTTGATCCTACCAATCCAAGAGCATGGGAGATCTTTCCATTTTCTGGTATCTTCTTTGATTTCTTTCTTCAAAGACACAAAGTTTTTGATATACAGGTCTTTCACTTCCTTGGTTAACATTATCCCCAGATATTTGATGCTGTTTTTGGCTATTGTAAAAGGTGATGTTTCTCTGATTTCTTTCTCAGTCACTTCATCATCTGTATATAATAGGGCCACTGATTTTTTTGAGTTTACCTTGTATCCTGCCACTTTGCTGAAGCTGTTTATCAGCTCTAGGAGTAACCTTGCGGAGTTTTTTGGGTCACATATGTAAACTATCATATCATCTGCAAATAATGAAAGCTTGACTTCTTCTTTTCCTATTTGTATCCCCTTTATCTCCTTTTGTTGTCTTATTGCTGTAGCTAGAACTTCAAGTACAATATTGAAGAGATATGGAGAGAGTGGACAGCCTTGTCTTGTTCCTGATTTTAGAGGAATTGCTTTGAGTTTCTCTCCATTTAGTTTGATGTTAGCTGTTGGTTTACTGTATATTGCTTTTATTATGTTCAGGTACGCTCCTGTTATCCCTGATCTCTCTAGGACCTTTATCATGAAGGGGTGCTGGATTTTGTCAAAGGCTTTTTCAGCATCTAGTGAGATAATCATGTGGTTTTTCTTTCGCAGATTGTTAATATGGTGGATTACATTGATAGATTTTCTAATGTTGAACCATCCCTGCATTCCTGGAATGAAGCCTACTTGATCATGGTGGATGATTTTTCTGATGTGTTCTTGAATCCGGTTTGCAAGTATTTTATTGAGTATTTTTGCATCAATGTTCATGAGGGAAATTGGTCTATAGTTCTCTTTCTTAGTTGTGTCTTTGTGTGGCTTGGGTATCAAGGTAATTGTAGCCTCATAGAAAGAGTTTGGCAGTGAGCCTCCTGCTTCTATAGTGTGGAATACTTTGACGAGTATTGGAATGAGCTCTTCTTTGAATTTCTGGTAGAATTCTGCACTGAAGCCATCTGGGCCTGGGCTTTTTTTGTTTGGGAGACTTTTGATGACTGCTTCTATTTCATTAGGGGTTATAGGTCTGTTTAGATTATTTATCTGTTCTTGATTTAGTTTTGGCAAGTGATATCTATCCAGGAAATTGTCCATTTCCTTTAAATTTTCAAATTTTGTGGAGTACAGATTTTCAAAGTATGCCCTGATGATTCTCTTGATTTCCTCAGAGTCCGTTGTTATGTCCCCTTTCTCATCCCTGATTTTGTTAATTAGCATGTTCTCTCTCTGTCTTTTGGTTAGTTTGGACAGAGGTTTGTCTATTTTGTTGATTTTCTCAAAGAACCAACTCTTTGTTTCATTGATTCTTCTCAATGTTTTCCTGGTTTCTACTTGATTGATTTCAGCCCTCAATTTGATTATTTCCTGGCGTCTGCTCCTCCTGGGGGAGTTTGCTTCTTTTTGTTCTAGAACATTCAGCTGTGCTATTAATTCTCTAGTATGACTGTTCTCCAGTTTTTTCATGTGGGCACTTAGTGCTATAAACTTTCCTCTCAGCACTGCTTTCAAAGTGTCCCATAAGTTTGTGTATGTTGTGTCTTCATTCTCATTGAAATCGAGGAAGTCTTTAATTTCTTTTTTTATTTGTTCCTTTACCCAGGGATGGTGCAATTGTGCATTGTTCAATTTTCTTGACTTTGTAGGGTTTCTGCGATTTGTGTTATTGTTGAATTCTAATGTTAATGCATGGTGGTCTGATAAGATGCAGGGGGTTATTCCAATTTTTTTGTATCTGTGGAGATTTGCTATGTTTCCTATTATGTGGTATTTAAAGTAGTGTTTATCACTAGGCAGGTACTGAAAAAGTGTAAACTCTTAGAGTTCTGTTCCTTTACTATTTGTGTGTGAGAGAAAGTTCTTTGCATTTCTTCCAAGTTCTCTGTGAAATGTTTCCTCCGGTTCTCCGCTTCTCCCTACAGAAAGTAATTTGTTCCTGTTCTGTTCTGTTTTTATAGGAACAGGAAGAAAGCCCAAACAAAATTCATGACCAAGCCTGTACTGTGGAAAAGTCACACAGCAGTGTCCAAATGGCACTCAGTGGTCACTGAGAACTACTGAGAGGACAGATAATGGCCAGTGAGGAACACAAAGGACAGCTGAGTTTGGGTCAGGCATACATATGGTGACTTCCTAAGATTTGGGGAGAGGAGGGGGAAACAAGCATATTAAACTGTGTGCTCTTCTGGACAGAGCAATCCACTTAGCCCACTATCAGATAAGGGAATAGACTCCAGCTCCCCCATGGCAGATATACTATTATCCACTATGAATCCAAAATACATTATGTTCAAAGTGCTTGGATGAACATTTTCCCTGTATAACTGAGAGCATTAGAATGAATTAAGAGTTAGATTACGCCAAAGAGTTAATTTGTTCCATGAGATACCTATGAAGTAATAATATGTCATCTAACATAGATATGGAAGAGAGTTAAGATATTCTTATATTTCTGGTTGTAAGCCTAGCCTTTAATTGCTGAGCCATCTCTCCAACCACAGAATTAAGATATTCTAATTAAGAAGGATTTGAGTGCCACCAAGGTATGATTTTTACCCTAAAGTTCTAATACTGCTCTTGAAAAAAATGAAATATACATTCACATTTAATGTTCACTAATGAGTTTATTGTATTTTAACCACTTGGTTAAAAAAACAACACTGACTTTCTGTGCTTTAAAATAAGAATGTACCCCCAAACTACTCTTAGCCAGAGAGAACTATAAGTTGAAGGGGTTTTTTGTTGTTTTGGGGTTTTTTTTTTTTTGGTTTTTACGAGACAGGGTTTCTCTGTATTGTTTTCGAGGCTGTCGGTCCAGCCCAGCCTCAAACTCACAGAGATCCGCCTGCCTCTGCCTCCTGAGTGCTGGGATTAAAGGCATGCGCCACCACTGCCCGGTTTATAAGTTGAAGTTTGAATAAGTCACAGTATCATCCAGTAACTAAATAGTAGAGCCAGTGTGTGAAATGACAAATACAACCATGGAAGCTGGTGGTCCTAACTACCATAGAAATAAGGATTTATAGGAGCTATAAGACTGCTTCATTATTCACTTTTCAGTTGAGAAAAGACTTGTTTTAAGAATTTACCCAAGGCCAACAAACTATCTCTACTCCATTGTCCAGTGAAGGCTCAATTTACCTGTAGCAAGAGTTTGCGGGGGTAAAAATGCAGCACACAAGATGTCATCTTGGTGATGGATTCCCCCTTTCCACTCTTCAGACTGGATGGAAAACTGATTGAAGTTCTGGGGTCGAAACACAGTAACTGCTCTGTGAAATGATACAGAATTCAGCTGCAAATCTAAAATTGGTACTGATATTGAGAAGCCATTATCCACTCGAATGGTGCAATTTGAAAAGTCTGGAAGACTATACCATCCAAAATTTTATCATCACTTGTCATCCATAATAAAGTAAGCCTCCCACTGAAGTTCCTTTAAAATTCTTATGTTAAATCTCTATAAATTATAACAGCTTAATGTAGGAAGGTTAATTATGCTTCCATAACCATTAAAATCAAGGATGCATCTATTGATTAGATTAATTATCTGTTTTCAAGACCCTGAAACAAAATTTCATCACATGAAACTATTAAGAGTCTTATAGAAATAATAATAAAAAGCTAAAGTGGGTCTATGAACAAATATTGTCTGGTAGTTTAAATTAAATCATTATGGTTTCTTTCATCAAAGTTGCTTCTTAGGGTGTTTACATGTAATCACTCCCTGTAATATTCTCTTTGAGTTCACTACATCTTTAAGAGCTATCATTTGTAGAAAATGTTTGAAAACTGCCATTCCCAAGAGTTAGGAGATCTAGAAACATGGAAACAACAGTTTTAGAGAAATCAGCCCTGAGATACTGCTGACAAATTTGAGTGTAGACTGCAGTAAAGATAGAGCCGATAGTCTGATGCCTAGGAGGGAAGGAGGGAACATAGACAACAGTTTATGGGAGAATCAGCAGTGACCTATTCCCACGCAGTGTCTTGAGCTCTTGTTGACAACCAGTATGAAGCCTCCATTTCTTTTCATGTCTACCCTCATTTCAAATGACCATTCGTTACCATAGCTTGAGTCCTCACTGTCCTTCTTCCTCCCCTCCCTGATGACATCATGCTTCTTCTCCCACTTAATTGTCAAACCAACACGAGTTTTCACTTGTGAACAAGAAACTGTTTTTCCTCCTTGAAATTCTTGCTTCCAGTCAACAAACTACATTACATTGGTAGTGCTATGTATCAGTTGCCTTTGCTGTGATATTGTCTGTGGAAGGAGGATACACCCTCTCCATTTCCAGACCCAAGTATGATTGTCCCAAAGTGTCCTCCCAGGCCCCTCAGATGGGCTGCTTACCTACCAAGTCTGTAACATGTGAGAGCAGAGGACTGGAAACTAGCCCAAGTGTGAACACAGGTAGAAAGCCAACCATTTCTATCCGATGTTACATTTTGTTTTGTTACCATGATATAAAAGTCCTTTGGAAAAACAATCTGGAAGTTTAGCCATGAGAAGCTTATCCATGAAGAAAGTGTCCAATTAAGAACTCCAGCTAACTGTCTCAAACTACCCAGCCCATTTTTTCCTGAATATATTGAGCATTATATTTGACAACATTTTATTACTTACCTGTCTATAAATCATCTATATATCACTTGCTGTTTATTCAGAAAAAGGAATGACTATCATGGGTCCCTCCCCACACAGTACACAACACAATTCTTGCTTTTCTGTTTGCCTTCTTTATTATTCATTCCAAAGTATCCATTTTCTTGACCTTTCTTTCTCTCAATCTTTTGCTTTAAACATTCTTTATCACCATTGGTCCCCTTCTCTCTATTCATTCAGAGATCCCATGTATCACCATGGATTCTAATACAAATGGCCTTCTATTGCTCTCCATCCACAACGTTTAGCAGGATTGAATGGTTTCACTTTGCCAGCTGGTAATTCTACACATATTGTCTTTCCATCACCAACATATCTTAACACATGACAAATCAAAATTTGCCACCTTCTTCCCACACTGTATCCTGAATTGGAGACATTGGTTTCCAGACCATCATTATAGCCTGTGCTGTGCCATTTTTGCCTCTGCTCACAAACATAATTTGTATCACCCGGGTGTGACATATTCATTCTTTTCACTTCCACTTTAAATGGCCACTTAGAGCTCCCTAGTACAGAGTTCTCCACCCCACCAGTGAACAACTGTAAGAAACCCCTAACCCAATTTTACTGCAGCTAAGTCTACTCTCCCCCACATTAAATCTTTGTCCTGACACTCGATTCACTTTTACATTCTGGAGTTTTAATATCCCCTCATTCTTCAAGCAAATGTTGCTCCTGCACAGCAAGTCTTAAACATTTAAAACCAGGTGCCCAAAATGAAGAAAATGTTAAGTGCAGCGTGGTGTGTACTAAAGCAGCACCGATTAACTGCCATTGAAGTCCACAGCTCAGATCACGGAGGTCCAGTTGAGGGCTGATAGTTACTACGCAGACCATGAAAAGTGTATAGAACATGGAAGAAAGAAGCATGCTGGGGAGAGGAGACAAGACAATGAAAGATGAGGCTGAAGTCTTGCTTGAAATCACTCCCTGGGCTTCCATCTCTCACATGAAAAAACTCAAATCTGAAAATCTGTTTTTCCAGATCCAAAACTATACAGACTTAATCTCCTTCTCAAGAAATATTTCTCCCTATTCTGCCATTGCCTCTTAGCAGTGTGTGTGTGTGTGTGTGTGTGTGTGTGTGTGTGAATTTTGAATGAACTTTTGAGAAAGGCCATAGGAAGCCATAAAGTAATGTTCTTTGTACAACGTGGAAGAAATAGTATTTTATTAAAATAGAGATTATATAATATAGTAAATTTACTATGCCCATCTGAATTGTACAAATAGACCACTATGTTTCAAATTTACTGTCTTACAGGGAAGTTTATAAATATCAGGACTATCCAAGGATAAGTTACAGAAGCAAATCATCTTGCCCAAACTGAATTTGTGTTGTTCTCTATTTCCAGATGTTTAGTTTTCCTTTGTGGGAGCCTCGTGTTTCTGTATCCTATGTATCATTTTCTCAGGCCACTCATTCTCCATGAATGTTCTGTAAGAACTACCTTGTGAAGAAATAATCCCCTTCTGAACTCTTCAGTTATTTGCTTTCACTAATTAGATTCATGCCACACCTCAAAGATCCTGTTAGATTACGAGTATAGAGACACCTGGGATCTTTGCTTCTTGAACTGAAGGAGGGAAACTGAAACTATCTGTTTAAGTAAACTTTCTGTGGTGATTCCGCCTCAGGATTCGCCCTTCCTTCCTATGCTTCATGTTCCTTGGTAACATTCTTCACTGTGGGATTTTTGTTCCTTTCCTTTCGATAAAGTGTATGAAACTGAAAGTTTTCGGCCTGCATTGTCAATGCTAGAATAATATTTCGTACATATAGCAAGCATTGTACAAGAATCTACCAAATACAGTTTAAGATTTCCTCCTCTAGATGTTCTCTCAGCCTGGACACATGGAGGAGGGCCTAGGGCCTGCCCTGGACAGACTCTGGAGATCCCCCATAGAGGGCCCCACCCTCCCTGCGGAATAGAGTGGGGATTGGTGAGGGGCTAGGGGAGCTGGGAGGGGCGGGGGAGGAGGAGAGGGAGAGGGAGCTGGGATTGACATGTGAAGCAAGCTTGTTTCTAGTTTAAATAAATAAAAAAGAATTACTCCTCTATTTTAAAAATAATAATTTTAATATGTATATCATTAATTGAGACTTAGAAAGATACTATAAATAAGAAACTCAAAAGCTCTGAAATTCAGTATGCTATCACAATATTGTGTGAATATATTTCTAAGTTTCTCTTTCTGCTAGTAGGTTAAGGAATGGTGACTAGGGAGTGGAAGTCAGAAACACAGGTCAATCCTACATCTGTTGTGTAAGCCAAGTTTCAATGTCAAATGTCTTTTTGCCAAGTTTCCGGTATTAAATATGGATACATTCAGTGCACTGCACCCAAGGCGTGAATTGCTTTCCATAATATGCTACAAAAAAATAGCCCTTTTAACATTTGACCTTCTGGCACCTTTCCCTTAAAGCCTAACCTGAAATTCTGATTTGAAATGGCAGTGATCCTTAAAATACCCCAAGAATCCACATCCAGGTCTCACTTTCCCACCTCACACAACTCTTTTTTTGTTAAGCTTGGACTGTGCCAAGAACAAAATTAAACTTCAGAAGGAGCCAGTTTTCCGCCATTTTAGGGGTCAGATAGACTTGTTATTTGGCACTGAAGGAGTTTTCCAGCTCCCTTCCATTCCTCATAGGTGAAATCCTGAGATTATTGCTGTGAGCCATTGTGCCATGCTGCAGAGAAGCTGGTTATGAAGAAAACACTGCCAGCGACCTGCTGCTTGTGAGGTTGATTGCTCATGTGTTTGTTGTTGGCCCAGGTGTTTTAAGTCTCATTAATAATTCTCCTTTGATCCATGGCTTATTAGATTAGCAATAAGAAGCAGAAAACCCATTTCTAATCAATTTGTTTTTATTTATTCTTCTGATTTTTTCTTTTTTAAAATCCGTGAGGTCAAACTTTGCACATTGAAATAATCACAAATTAAGGTTTAGGAAGTATCTGTGACTTTCAAATATACTTATTCTATCCTCAGTTCCAAATGGCAAATTTAAAATGAATCACAACTTTAGAGCCATCCATTTTGATTGTTATTCTAATAATAGAAATTAATTGTGTCACATCGGGCTACTTCCTTAGAAAGGCAATTATTAGAAAGACCTCAATATCTTTTCTTAGTTAAGTTTTATTCCCAAGCAACTTAAAATCTCTAAGATCATTTCATTTAGAAAACACTTTAAAACCCAAAAAAACCCTGAAGTGACCTGATTTAATTTCTAAAATCATATATAAAAGTACACATGGAATTGGAAGATTGAGATTTGGGAGAAAATGGGGTGGACGAAATTATATAAACAACTTTATTAATCATGTATTTGTATACAGTTTTATATATTGGTAGGGTGGGCTAGCAATAATATTTTCAGAATTGCTTTAAATAACATTAAATATTCTTTTTATATTTGTGTATGTGTAAATTTTTAAGGTGATAAAATCTTCATAAACAAAGGTTCATACATGAGTATAAAGTGATAGTTATAGTAACTCATTGTTACCATTTCACAATATGTACAGATATTAAAAATTTGCTTGTATACTGCAAACATTAGTACAAACTGTTTTTTTTTGTTGATTATACCTAGATATAGCTGGCAGAAAACACACAGATTTCTCCTCTACACAAATAGGAAAGCAGAAGATGCCTGTTTTTAATGGTCTGTAAATAGGAAAGAATGTAAGTTTAGGACAATTTGAAATCTTAAACCATTGCAGTTGATTATTCTCGCTATGCATACCATGTCTAGGTTGAACATATGTAAGCCCAACTGGCCACCCATTCATCTAATTTTCCCTTTAAATATGACCAATGATACAATAAGATAATTTTGAATTGACATTCTATCAGTTCAATTTTTTCTAAGTATATTTACTTAAAGTGTCTTTATATCAGTTTTATTTGGGTTTTTTCATTATGATAGCAGATATGAGTTATTGGTTTCCGGAAGAACATGAGATCTATGAGTTCCTTTGCTTGGGGCTGTGTTTACAACAGTATTTACCATGCCCTGCCTTGTATATGATAAATTTCCTAATCAGATGTGATATGCTGACAGTAGAAATCACAATTTTTCACTATCAACACACTCTATTTCCTAACTCCATGACTTCCATCTGGACATGGCTTACACGTATTATGGAAAGAAAAGAGGAAAATATATTTAAGTTATTCTTTAAAGTGCTATTATTGATAACAAGTATTGTGTGTTTCTTCATATGTACGAAACTGTTTCACTGTCTTTGCTTGAGATAAGCAAGCTCCTCAGTCATTTGTTATAATGCATGTGCATGAATGTGCGGGGGAGTGGGCACCTCACCATGGTTTTATTCTTCTATTTGCAAACAGTCCATTCAAGAGTGCCGGAGAGACTACAGACTATGAGATAGGTTCAGCTGCCTACCCAGTTTGTTATCTTGTCTTGCCCACTAACCTCTTCAAAACTCAATTTTCTCCCCCATAAAGAGTAAAAATAATGCTTTTTGTCTCCTGATTCTAAACACAGAATACGTTTTAATGTCCATAATTACTACCGCTAACAAGCAATGGCTTGATTAATTCAGCTGTCTACTGGTCAGTTTCTTTGTCTACCACTACCTCATTCAATAAATATTTCTGCATATAGGAATACCATTTAAATATATTAAGAATATTGTATATATTAGACTTACCATTTATGTATATATATATAAGAGATATCACATACCTATCACAGGAATATCTTTTTAACTTAACAATATTTTAGAATATGTAACCAATAGAATGTATATAATTTATGAATACTATACACCTAATTTATGAATATGTATTCCTAAGTTCAAGAAAGTACAAAAGAATAATGTGCACGAAGACAAGAGGAGAACATATTTCCTCCATTTTAGCTGTAAAATAGAATGGCTGAGTAGAGAAGATGTCTAATTAAGTATTGAAAAACAACAAATATTAACTACATTTTAAAAACAGGACAGGGATTTCTACATATGGTAGAAAACTAAAGACATGAGGATGTATAGAGGATCTTTTTAAGTATTGGGAAATGGGCAGAAAATGACAAATTTAAGTACTGTAGCATTCATTCAAGCAGACACGATGCTCTAAAGAATACAGCTATAGTGCTGTATTCTTTCCAAATACTTAGGCTGTAAAACGGACCAACCTTAGGACAGCTGGGTTGTCAATTGGAGGAAAAATCAATGAAAATGGTGGAGGTCTATGCCTGCAGCCATAAAACGAAGCTCAAAATCAGAGAGGAAAGTGGTCTCAGGGAAGAGAGTAAACAATGCGTTCAGTTCTGAAAATGCTGAATCTTGGATTTCAGTGAGAGATATCTAGTAGAAGAGTAGATTAGTAAGCTTAGAGGTAACAGCTAAGCAGAGATTTGAGGTTTCTGGAAGATATTGTCTGCCTACTAAGGTGAAGGTAAAGATTAAATTAGATAATGTATGTAAAGTACACACTGCTTCATAGCACCAGGAAGAAAATAAATCAGCTAGTGTATTTAGGTGCCTCATTCAAGAAAAGCAATTTCTACTCACTCCTGAGTATAATTATCAAACCAATCTCTATATTTAGATAGAGCCTGAAGTTAAATTTCACCTTAACCTAAGAGGATCTCTCTGGATTTTCCAGAAAGCATGGATAAGATAATTGTCAATCTTTACTTCCCCTTCTTTAATCACTGAACCATACTGATCTGTCTTCCAGGTTGCATTTCCTCAGCTATAATCAAGTAGTTGCAATTTGGTTTTATGAGCTAAAGAGCATCCTAGCAGAAATGACTCTGTCTGATGCATGGAAAATTCACCCTAATGTAATGTCTCTAAGAAAACATGTTTCTGAAATCCATATCTATAAATGTTGCATAATATAACTGATAATTCATTAATGTAATCACTAGATAAAGGACCCAAGACTGACAACTTTGTGAAAGGGGAAAAAATGGAGAGGAGGATGAAAAAGGCCTAATTTTCTTTCATTTTAGTCTTCCTAAATCTTCTCACTGTTCCCAGGAAGTAACTAACACATATCACAGTACAAAATGTTCTTTAGGCCACTTTTCAATAACTTGATACATCAAACACTTTAAATTTTGTCTTATAAGCAATCAGAAATATTATCTTGGAGGGTAATTTTTAACTATGATTATCTAAAAATACAAAGAAATTAATTTTTAATTTGTTTTTATTCATTTTTTTCTCCCGAATGTAAACCAAATCAGCTAGATACCATGTGCTCACCATCCCATGGAATTAGAGACTTAAATTTATTCATAAGCATGGCCAAGCTGTAGACCTCTGAGCCCTAGCCCGCTGAAGAGTTGTAACTTGATTATGGATAATGATTGCTCCCAGGGATGTGAAGAAGCCTTGTCCTTCCAGCTAAGGATGATTGAAGTGGTCTTTAATATCAAGTGGAATGATCTGGTCTACACTTTCTTTATCATCAAACTGCCCTTGAAAACAGTTAGTCCACACATAATCATTTCAGAAATAAAATGTCTTTCCTACGATTGAAAAGAAAATCACCCAACATACACTGCTAGTTTTCTAGGTACTAAAAATGTCTGGACCTTAGCTTAAAGGTTATAATTATATGACAAACTATACCAGATAAGTTACCTAATACGGCAATATTTTGTGAATTATCAAAATTCTAAGTGATAAATTCCCAAAACAGAGCACACTTAATTTTCCTGGTGTTTATACAATGATATAGAAATTGCTCGATCTATGATCCCTTTGTTCTCTTAATAAAGTAAAAGAAAAAAATGAGTTTCCTAATAATGGCATCCCTGGGGAAGAAAGAGTATGCTGTGTGAGGGCATTTCCACAAAGATTGAGAAGGGGTAAGAACAGGGGACAGGGAGCTATTATCTCCTATAGCAAAGAATAGGTCTCTTCTTGTAATGAACCTAACCTGTGGTTCATAGGTGTTTGAAAAAGAGATGTGGATACACTTGGAGATGCAGGGTATTAAAATGTATCAAAAGAAAAATAAAACATTTCCTATACAATTGGGAGAAGCAATTTCCACTAGAAAGAGTTTCTTGAATTTACAATATAGGAGACACTTGGAAAATCAAGAAATGGCATCACGTACTTATTTGGAATTTTGAAAATAAGACCTAAAATTCCAAACCCAGGAGAAAGGCCCAAACGGTACCCTTAGTCACTCAATCTGGGTAATTTTACAGCATTTTATTCACAAAATGCCCAGTCCATTCCATCTCTCCTACTTGGCTATTAACAAGTTAATTACTCATAACCAAATGAGACTTCTTTGCTCTCCTTTTATATTCTGATTCAAATAAAAGCATCTTCATCTTCGCTCCTGACATTTCACATAGATATATCATACCTCTCCCAGCCCACAACCAGGATACTCTTCTTAAGAACCAGGATCTGTAAAATATCCACAACTCCATCTTGTCCAACATTTAGTGTGTGGTGACAATATCCATTAAAATCCCACACCTAGAAAAATGAAAATCAACATTGAGATAGAAACATGAAAATATCTTCGGTGTGTGAAACAATACAGTGTAATAGGAGGAGTTTGTTAAATATGGGTATGTACATTCTGTGTTGTTCTATCTTAATTATCCATTTTGTGAGATTTGGAAATGCCTTAGGAGGCAAATCTCTTACTGTTTGCTCTGAGGTTGTTTTCAGAGAGAATTAACTTGTATGGAAAGATCCACTCTAAATGTGAGTGTTTCATCCCATGGCTGAGATCCCAGACCGAATTTTTTTTAAAAGGACATGTATGATGCATTGCATTGGCACTTAAGAGTTTGCTCTCTGACTCCACTTTTAGTGGGACCAGCCTCTTCAGACTTCCTCAGAATGATGAACTGTTCTTCAAACCATGACCCAAAAATAAGCCTGTTGTTAAGTTGTTTCTGTCAGGAATTTTATGACAGCAACATGAAAAGTAACTAATACAGAAAATTAGTACCAAGGAAGAAGTCTCTTACTGTGACAAAACTAACCATATGGTTAATAGTCCTTTGGAACTTATTTTTGGAAGAGGTATACTTAAGTTTGGATCTGCATTACTCATGCTTTAGATGCCTTAAGAGCTTACTGGGTTGTTGTGGGGGATTTGAAGTATAGGACTGCTGAGAGAAATTTGCATGGTAGAGGACAAGATCATGAGCTGTTAGAGGGGAACAGCACCTTTAGTAACAACTGGGCTAGAAGATACTTATGTTATAATTTGGCTAAGAATCTGAAATCTTGTTCTGAGAACTTGAGTGCAGCTGAGTTTTAAAAGTCATGACTAGCCTCCTTCTCTCTCTCTCTCTCTCTCTCTCTCTCTCTCTCTCTCTCTCTTTCTCTCTGTGTGTGTGTGTGTGTGCACTTCTCCTGCTTTTTCTTTGTTTTGTTTTTATCTCTGTTTTTCTTTTGTTTTAATCTAATTTATTTGTTTGTTTGCTTGTTCACTTTCTAAAGAGAAAGAAAGAAGGCATGGAGTTGAATAGATGGAAAGGTATGGAGGAACGTGAAGGAAATGAGAAAGGGGAAACCTTGGTCAAGGTGTATTGTGTGGACACTGCTCATTGTTCTTGTTCTCCCATGAGACAGCAAGAAGTAGATCAAAGCACTGTGAAATGTTCTGAGAAGAAAATGTTTTTAGTGAGTTTAAAGTTGCAGACAAGGCAGTTGAGATAAAAGCAGCTATAATTTTTGAAAAGCTTAATGCCATTAAAGAGATAAATAATGTTGTTCCTAAGAACAATAGAAAGGTGTCATGTGGGCAAGACATCTGCCATCAAAGTCTGAAACTTACAGAAATGAAAATTCATTTATAGTAGGAAAGCCTGGACTGAAAATACTACCAAATTTATTTCTTACTTGAAAACATATTTCTTACTTGAAAACAACTCCCTAAAGATGTGTATTCACAGACTTGGCCATCCAAATACACAGAAGACATTATCATTGTGGTATAGAAGTGCCAAATTACATCTCAATATGCAGCAGATCTTGGTGGCAACACCAACATGGTCTTGGGTTGACAGATACATACAATTTGAGAGTTCATAATTTAGGCTTGCATCAAGTTTTCAAAAAACTGCTGAAACCCTATAATATATAGAGTCAGATGCCCAGTGAAAGGATTTTCAGAAGTTATTGAATGCAGCTGTGTAGGTGAAACCTATGTTGCCTTATAGTTCCCTAGGATATTAAGGGTACCAGAACCAACTAATATCTGTTGAAGAAATTGTATGCACAGATTGGAACTTACTAAAATAGAGTGATGTGTGTGTTAAACTACATGGATAGTGCTATCTATGGCTGCTAGGGTCCAGAAAATTCCATCATCATCACAAGACAGAGTTGTTGAATTTTGTGTTTGACATGATAGATGGGTAGATTGCTTTAGCCCAATCACTATTTGCCCTACCTTTATGCCTTTAGGTTGAAATGGTGATGTTTATTTTGTCATTGTACACTGTGTGTGTGTGTGCACGCACGTGTGTGTGTACAGGGCTCAGAATTACTTTGAGTTGTAACTAAAAGTTGAGTTGCTCACCAACTTCATAAGAGACTTTGGAGTTTTGGCTTCTGAATACTACTAGAACTATTAAGATTTTGGGAACTCTTAAAGATCAACTGAATGCATTTTGCATTATGAGATGTGCATGAGCTGTTGAAGACTATTAGTGGGATGATTTTTGGTGCTGAGAAGAAGCTGAGTAGAGTGAGTATTTGGCATGCATAGCATCCTATGCTGATTAATCCCCAGCACTACAAAAGAAATGATATGTTTGGGTATTAAGTTGACAAGGAATTCATTTGTGATGAGTAATTTGTTAAGCTGATAGAATTTAGAGTCACCTAAGAGGCAAATTTCTGGACAAATCTGTTAAGATTTTTCTAAAAGTTTAACTGAAAAGGAAGGATCCAACCTTACTGTGATGAAGCCACCCCATGGACCATGATATTAGACTGGATTACAAAAAGAATACCTACAGTAACTTTCCACTCTCTTTGTTTCCTGATTGGAGATGTGACATGACCAGCTTCCCTGTGCTTCTGCTGCCAAGGCTTCCCATCATGGTGAACTGAACCAGTGGCTGTCAGTCTCCCTAATGTGGTGACCCTTTAACACAGTTCTTAATGTTGTGGTATTCCCAACCATGGAATTATTTCCATTGATACTTCATAACTAATTTCCTACTGTTATGAATTGTATTGTAAATATCTGTGTTTTCCTGTGGTCTTAGGTGACTCCCGTGAAAGAATCATTTAACCCCCAAAGGAGTTTTGACCCACAGGTTGAGAACAACTGAACTAAACCTTAAAGCTATAATGCAAATCTACTCTGTACTAAATGTGATTCCAGTAGGTTATGCTATAATTAATCTCAGAATTCAAACTTAGGTGTATCTATTCCTGTTGTGATTTGAAAGATTATTGAAATATCTGGAATAAACAAGAATGACATATTAATGAATGATTGGTAACTGGAGATCTGTTTGTAGATTTGAAATATGGGCTGATTACAGGACAAACCAAGGCTTTGGAGAATTGAGAATGAGGGTGTCCCAGGATCTGTGGGAGAGAAACTGAAAATTTAGTTGCTCACCACTGAGATGCAATCAGCTATGTCCAAGCAATGAAGCTTCAACAGTAGAAACAGCAAAGCAAGATTACAGAGCTTCTAAAGAGGTGAACAGTGGGTGGACCAGAAAAGTGTAATCTTTCCAAGCAAAAGGAGGGCATGGAAGTCCCATGACCCTGTCCAAATGCCTTTCTTCAGATTTTTTCAACTGGCTGTTTATCTGTATCAATTGAAATATTTTTTAATAACTGTGTAAATATAATGTAGTGTTTTCTTGAGATCTGTAAGATACTCTTACAAATAAGTGTGACCCAGTGAGGGGTTCACAGGAATCTTGATTTAAAATACATGGATTAGAGGTGTAGGTCACAATGTGTCCTTACAACTGTCATTCTAACTATGGAGCAGTCAACTAGGAATGAGCCCTCAGTTTGTAAATTCTAACCTGGGAACTGAATGTGTTAAGGTACCAAAGTGGTAGCTGATGGAAAATCCACCACATGATTGCTTCTGGGGAGTGTAATGTCTATTTATTTTTTAGTGACCACCAGTGAGCTGTTGTATTGAATGTTTTGCAATGTTGAACTCCTGACTGTTTGTTTGTTTTCTCTTACGTGTGATACAGGACCTATGTTCCTCAAGAATGTCTGAAGGATTAGACATCTAATTCAATGTCTAAAACATATTTCTTGTGTGCCGGGTCTCTTGTCTTTTGCTGATTTACCTGCCTGGTGACATAGGATGTCAACCACTTCTTAAAGAGTATCTAATTCTCTACTCAGAGTTATACTCTCTACTGAGGCACTGTGGTACTGACATGGCCAAAGCATACACTTTTATATAAGGAATCAGTAGGTCACTGGCAATTAGAAGGAAGCCCTATCATGAAGCATTTTTGACATAAATTATGCAGAGGTCAAGTTGGTACTATGTATCAAAATTGAAATCAATACACTCTGACTTCAAAGTTCAACATCTGAAAACTTATCTTACAGATACACCCATTCTTGTGAAATGTCATGTGATGTATTGTTTGTAAACCATAAAATTTTGAATCACACTTAAGTTGTATCCTGTGATTCAACCACCAGGAGATGGGTCGTGCTGCTGGCGATGTTCGGTAGTTAAGGACATGCCTATAAAGTGCACCATCCTTGTTTCATTCTCCACAACTCCCTCCATGTAAGCAAGAAGAGATGAGTCGTCTGCTGTTTCTAGATTCACACCCAAGCTCTAACAGTTATGACACCTTTGATTGAGAAACTTTTACTCTTGGAGCTTTAGCACCCTCAATTGTAAAATGTGGATTTGACCTTGTAATGCTCTGTTGGTGTGTGTGTGTGTGCGTGCCTTGTAACAGCATCTGTTTCAAAGTAAGCATGTTATAAAATTTAATAAATTTCATTATTTATGTAGAATATCCATACAAACTAATATCCAGGACAGAATCACAAAACCCCAGACCAATGTGTACAGTGGTCTGTCATCTAGCAAAAAAAATAGTTCTGCTAGGCTAGAAAAAATGGACAAGAAGCCAGTAATACAAGTATCATAATTGGAAAAGGGAACAGAGATTCTCTGTAGACATTACTTCAAAGATTAATTAGTTTTCTGCTCCTTCAAAACCACAGTAAGTGGAACATAACGTGAATTCTTGGATCATACAGCTTCTGATTTGAGATGGTAAATGGATTGCAAGATGTCACTCATTTTCACTCCCTCACAAAATATGCCTAAAGGAGCTCTCCTGTTATTGACATGCCTGATACGGAGGTTGCCAGACTTCCCATTATGTTGTGTGACTGTGATAAAAATAAATGCACCTTAAAATGCAGTGATTATGCTACTAAATAGGTTTTAAGGCTTATTTTCATATGAATTTATGTGTATGTGTGTCTCTGAGTGTATATGTGCACATGTGTGCAGATACCCAGAGAGGTCAGAAGAGGATGTCCTGGACCTAGAGTTCCAGACCATCTTACACTGTGGGTACTGGAAATTGAACTCAGGTCTGCTGGTAGAGCAGAAATGATCCTAAACTGTTGAGCCACCTTTTCAGACACTACGCAACTAAATTTATAGTCACCTCTAAATGTGCAGGTTTCTGCACAGAATCCAGGCTCGCTTCGGGTCTGCAGCCATGCCGTATTGCTGTCCTCTAGCCTAATACCCAGCTCAACGGAAATAATTCCCACGAAGAACTATGGAGAAGATCTGGCCATTCTTCACTCTAGGAGGTATTCATTATCAAGGATCCTTTTTCAATATCTAGGAGGTGTACCTTACCCCGCACTCTATAACCAGTCCCTTCTCCATGATGGGTAAACGGGCTCTTATCCCTTGCTTTATCTTTGTCCCTGTTTCACACTTCAGGATTGGGTAGCGAGGCATTGGCTGATTCCTTTGCCTGTCTAACATGCCAGTTTCAGTTGCCTCCCTTTTGTGTCATTTCATCTGTTAGAACTGGAGAGACCAGTGACTTTCACACACTGTAGCAGATCTCTGTGAACTACACCAGTCCCCAGTCTGCTTGACTGATGTGGCTTTGCGTAGCCATGTTCTACTTATATACAGAGATGAACCCACCCTAGCTCCCTTCTCATGCCGACAATTATCAGCCTGGGATCACCCTAAGCTTTTGCTACTACGTGTAGGACAATGCTTCTCCATATCGAGGTAGCTTTCTGTGACTCTGCAGCACCGTAACAGGATGCATTATGCACCCCATGCCCAGGGTCTATTCACCATGGGAGGTAGTCTAGCATCTTCATGTCCCTGTTATCACAGCTTGGAGAGTCATGGGTTTTTTCAAGAAAACAATTTCTGTTGCCTCACATTGTCACATGGCATCTCCAATCAATGATGATCGTGGCTATATATATGACACAAGGCAGGAGACTTCACTGATAGGCATAATTTCTAGATAGATCTGACTTTCCACGAAAATTTCATCGTCATGCAAATTAAAATATTTCCTTCCTCACAGAAGAAATAAATGGTAGTTATATAATAAGAAAACTAGAAGAAGTAAGGTACTGTTACTTTAGGATAGAAAAGAAATATGACTATGATTATAGTTTTATTATCCCGTCTTACCACCTCACTACTTTCAAATAACAAAAGTACATGTCATTAAATATGCTTACTTTCAAGCATTCATTTTTGAAAACAAAAGTATATTGCTGCCATTTAAAAACTGTATTATGTTCTCCTATTCCTCATTTCATAAATTTAGAAGAAGGAAAACTAGAGATGTTGGCAGAAGCATGGGGAAATTATCCAGACTTCTTATTTTCAAAAAGTAATCATGTACCAGAAAAGGCTTTTTGAAGTAAGCATGCATAGTTGTGTCTTTTTTTCAAATAATTCATTCAGCAAAGCCATTTACTCATCATTCTAACAGTTTCATTATTGGCTGGCTTATTTAGCTCCTATCTGCTCCTGTCCTTCTTCTCCCGACATCACAAAGGCAACAGCACGCAAAGCTTTAGTTGTGTCTCTCCACACACCCTGCTAGCATCCTCAAATCTGGGCAGAAAAAGCCTCATTTTGGCTATACCTTTACAGTCCCGTCTGTGCTGCCAGTCAAAAGCCGGGTCTCATTTGCATCCAGGGCCATGGTGCTGATCTCTGCATTGCCATGGCAACCAGAAAACTGTTTGATTTTCTGCCCAGTCTCTATCATCCAGAAGGAAACAGTAGACCCCACATCAGAGCTGATTACCTGGGAGAAAATAACATAGCGGAGAAATTAAATATAGTTTTAGGATCAACCACTTTTATTTCAATAAAAATACCTTGACTGTGCACTTTCACTGCTAAGATCCCCCAGCAGTTAAAGACATTTTTGCAATGTGCTTATCTTCTGTTTGTTAAGCTGATCACATTTCAGTCTGTAGGCCTGAGCTGAAGTCATGAAGTCATGATCCTCTTTATCATAGAAGATGGTAATCTGCTTCCTTTACACCATCCAGCTGTCTGTCTGTCTAGAGGCCATCTTGACTTAATACCTTACTGCCAATAACCATTATAAATCTTTCACATTTCTTTTTTTTATTCTTTTTTTTTCACATTTCTTTAAGAAAGACAGACCTCATAGTTGTGGTACTATGATACTGTTTACTAAACAAAAGGGAACTTTTTATTTGTGATCTACTTCCATGTAGCATTAAAATTTTTTTTAAAAAACAAGCACTTTAAGTCCCTCTGGGAAGTAGTTAAGTTCAACAAGTTACTGACACTGTTACATTTTTTTATGCCATTAGTCCTTTTCTGTCTCTTTGGAGTGGTGTGTGTGTGTGTGTGTTTTAAACTTATTCATGTATCACTGATTACAAAGAACACAGGTTAACTATAAATCCACATATGCATTTCAATAGGAAAGCCACAAAACAAATGCTACGAGGAAGAAGACTAAATATGCTACAAATGAGAAAATATGGGGCTGACAGAGGCAAGTCAACCACTTCTTTTCACTCTAGGTAAGCAACACCTGTAAGACATTTTTTTGTGAAACAACTCTACAAACAAGACTGTAGAGATCTAGTTAAAGAAAAATGATAAACATATAAATATGTAGATATCAATTTATCTAGGGTTGTATGTTGATTTTGAGAAAATAAAGTATTTCCCTGCTGTTTGAATAGTATCATTCTATAAGTGGAAACTTATTAAGACAAGTTTATATTTCATATCATATGTGTTGAGGGAATCTGGTGTATGTAAGGAAGGGTAACATGGGTGGTGATCACAACCGCATGCATGCATTGTGCAGGCACTGTTGAACATGCAGACTCTGACAGGAGGAATTTAGAGATTCATTCCTCGAAAACTCTAGGTCTACGTATTAAAACCTCCACGGAGAGTTAGAGAGATGACTTAGTCTGTAAACAGCTCGCCATACAAGCATGAGGACCTGAGTTACAACCCCAGCACTTATTTAAAAAAAAACCTGGACATGGCAGCACATTGCACTTATCATCCTCGTGATCACTTGCAAACTTGGATAGCATTACTAGGACCATGGTTTTACCCATGATTCTTGGCAGCTAATTACTTTTTTCCTACCTTTTGTTACTAGTTTTGCCACTCAAGGTGAGAGGGGCATATTGTGTTCTACCTATACTCCATAGAACAACCCCATGAAATTTAAATTTTGTCTAAAGGAGGAAAATACTTCTTACTAAAAAGCATTAGAAAATTCAATGAAGACCAAGTTCACAGTGTATGAAGGGATAAAGAAAGTAGGTGTCTTGTTAGGGTTTCTGTTGCTGTGGTAAAACACTATGATCAAAAGTCACTTGGAGCTGGGCGGTGGTGGCGCATGCCTTTAATCCAGCACTCGGGAGGCAGAGGCAGTCGGATCTCTGTGAGTTCGAGGCCAGGCTGGACCAACAGCCTCCAAAATAATACAGAGAAACCCTGTCTCGTAAAACCAAAAATAAAAAAGTCACCTGGAGAGGAAAGGGTTCATTTCTCCGTACAGCTCATAAGTAGGGAGAGAAGCCAGGGAAGGAACCCGGAGGCAGGGCAGAGGCTGGATTGCAGCTTACTGACTTGACCCTCGTGGCTTCCTCAGCCTGCCTTCTTATAGCACTCAGGACCATCAGCCTACAATGGACTGGTTCCCTGTCTTGGGACAGTAGTAATATTACTGTTCAAAGCAAGTATTATTAAAAATAAACACACTTAAACATGGGCTCAAAGCCTACCCCCTAATAACAACATCCTCCCAAAAGGTCTCAATTCCAATTATTCTAAACAATTCTACTAACTTGGGATGAGCATTCTAACACATGAGCCTATGGTGGTGGGAGGGGGCATTCTTATTCAAACTGTCACAGGCTTACCCATAGCATAAACTTATGGAAGCATGCTTATTTTTCAATTTAAGTTTCCTCATCTCTAGCTTACGATGAATTGACATACAACTAGGAAACAACATCTCACAGCAGCTGTGATTGCCTGGAAAGGATGTTCCCAAGACTGGGGCTACCGACAGTCAATTGTGGATTAAGGAAGAGGACTCATAGGGTGCAACCTCTCCTTGATAAACTACTGGCAACTGACAAATTCTTGGAAGAGAGGAAGTCATTGTCTTTAGTTTGGCCCCAACTGTGGGATCCCATAGAAAGTTCCAAACATGTGGTAACACAAACAATTCTGCTTAAAATGATTGAATCACAAAACAAAGTAAAAATGACAAAAATGTAATAAAGGAACATATAGGCAGAAGAGTGTATGACAGGAATATAATAGAGACAAGAGTGGGTGGGGGTTAGCGTAGTCAGAGTGGCGATCCCCCATGGGAGGGAGGCCTCACCCTCTCTGAAGAGTGGATGGGGGTGGGATGGGGAGATGGTGGGGGAAATGGGACAATGGGAGGGAGAGGGAACTGGGATTGGTATGTAAAATAAGACTTTTAATTTAAACATAAAATTCATAAAAATATTTTAAAACAAAAAGTTAACGATATGCATGTATGGAATCGTCAAAGAGAAAAGTTCATGAGTTTAAAAAGTGGTAGAAACGTCATTGCTATTAACAAGAAGACTGCTGCAAAGGCTGGCTGCTGCTGGTGAAGATACCTCTAAGAGCAGAGCAGAGTACAAAGTCAGGCTGCAAGAAGACCACATAGAGCCAACTAGAATCACAAATGCAAAAACGTCTGGGAGAGCCAAGGCATTCTAATGGTGGGAAGGAGAGGAGGCGCTGAGAGAAATGACAAACTGTTGGCAAAGTTGATTTCTAAGGAGAAACAGAGATAATCTGGACCGGATCTCTTTTATAAAGCTTTGTTCTCTTCCCTGAACTTACAATTCTGATTAAATGATGCCTTAAATTACATATAATATTATTAAGCTAGGGGGAAACTTCAAAGCTGAATGACTTGTATCTTTGAAAACCTGGTCTAATACTTTATCACAATGTTTCCTCTTGATTTTGTTTGAGCACCCAGATTCTCCATGAAAAATCTTCAAGTCTGACTGTTTCACTAGTTAATTGCCTGAAGTTGTGCATGAAGATCAAGCTTATTAATTAACCTCTGTAGGCATCACTTTACCCACCTGTGATGCAGAGATAATTACAACTACCCCAAACCTTGTTAAAAAGGCAAAAAAGCTAATATTCATAAATTGCTAACTATAGCATATGGTATTGCTGCAAATAAGCTAAAATAGTTAGGCATGTCACTCTTCCAAGTTTCATTTGTCTGGCATATTATTGTGGCTCATTCATCTTTCATATTCAAATAAATTTGAAAGAAATCGGTATATAACCTTTTGCTGCCACAACAATGAATGAGGATGATTGCAATTTTAGAAACTAGATTTCAATGTACATTTGAAATTTCAAATATGTCATGGTTGTTATCTTACAAAATTATTATTTGTTTTATTCTTTCACAATTTTATACATACATAAAGTGACTTGATCCTATTGACTTTCTTATTTTTATTTTCTCTTAGCTCCTTTCCACTCCTAACAAACTGCTTCTTCTTCTTCAAGTAAGTCTCTCTCTCATCATATCTTGCATCTTTCCCCCCTCTGTCTCTCTGTCTCTGTCTCTCTCTCTCTGTCTCTGTGTGTGTGTCTGTCTCTCTCTGTCTCTCTGTCTCTCTGTCTCTGTGTGTGTGTGTGTATGTGTGTGTGAGAGAGTTGAGCATGTGTGTCTGTGTGTGACCATATTTAATTACAGTTGCCTGTATAAGCATGGAAGGGGATTATTTAACTGAACAATAATGGCAACCTAGAAGTCGTTTTGTCATTGAGTAACTATTAACTAAATCTCCTCAGGGAGGAGTAGGGCACATGAGCTCCCCTCCCACCCATGATGAACTATTGACAGGTTCGGTCTTATGCAGGACTTGGGGAGATAAACGCAGCCATTTGAAGTTCTGTCATGAAGTAACCACATAATGACCACAAGCAAATGTTACATAAATTCTCAGAAATTTAGATCCCGTCCTTTTTAAATAAATGCAACTTTCCCTAAACATTAAAAAAACAACAACAACAAGAAAAAAGTGTTGTAGTGGCCTTTTAAGAAAAGACTAAGGCTTGTGAAAGATTTATTTTTTATTTTGTATATTCAAATTAAGTAGGCATTATATGTTCTGCTGTCCAGTACAAAAAGGTGAATGCTCCCCAAGCAGAAGTACACATGAAAATTGACACTTACAAGCCATATTAAAGGACCTGCCCCTCTACCCTTTTACCTGTGGACCTTTGTTCTGGACTCAGCAATGCTCGTCTTCTCCTGCATTTACCTTCCCTTCTCTGCCCACATGCCTGAGCTCCAGCACACTAACCATCAGTTTTCATCGCTCTTCTCTTCCTTGAGGGCTGGGGCATTAAACCTGAATCAACTATGACAACAGCAGAGAGCCAGTCTGATCCCACTATATGGAAATCTGCCTTCCTGTGCTGAAGGCAAGAGAGCAGCGCATTGAAACCTACCATGCCACAAAAACACGGCCTGCTTTAACTACAGTCTACTCTTCTACGGCAACACTGGAGAATTAGAAAAGCAATGAACAGGAAAAGATTTTGTGTTTAACGAGAGAAGAGTACAGTTAATGTAGATTGGCAGGTTAGGAAAGTAATTTAGCTGTGGGACACTGGGGACTTTATTTTTAGCCCGTTATTTTTGTTAGTAATAAAAGGCAGAATAAATACTGGCAACACACTGGTGTGCTTTATTCTGACTACAGCAAATTTCTT